GAAAAAAAATTATGAATATCCCAAAAACCGACGAAGTTTCTCATTTGTAGCGCGAGACTGAGTGATGACGTCACATGACACCAGTCACCATAGCTACCAGAAAGGGAAGCGCACTCTTCGCGACATTACGATCTACGGTAAAAACGAGTGATCAATGACTCACAAATACTGTATTGTAAGAAAAACATGTTCACGTGTGTCAAAACATAGAAGGATTAGAAGGATGTGGTTCAGGGTAATGAGCAGAGACAGTGATGATAACAATGCTGCTTTCCTAAATATCATTGTACTGGTGTCAATATTTTTTGATGTTAGTCGGTATTTAGTTTATATAATGAAATGGATTAAATATCTATAATAGGGATAATGAGGATACATGTGATATGCAAGGCCGTAGTCAGAAACCAAGCTTGTGTCATGTGACGTCACCACCAAACATTAACGCGCGTGAGCAGTCGGTTACGGGACCGAACACAGAAAATGTCATAACTTTCTTTAACTCCAAGTTATCAATAATTATTTCAGATTGTTGAGTGAAACTAGGGAGATTTTGGACTATGGTCTTTACTTGAACTACAAGCATTTACTTCAGATTACGGAAATCTTATTCCAGAAATCGTAAATGCCTTGACATAAAATTAAAACAATAAATATGCCTTGTATACTTTATTCATATATCGGGTTTTATAAAAATTCAAGTATCAACGTACTTCATAAACTATTAAGCTAGAAATAACAGAAATATAATCATGAGGCCCACAGACGAGTGGATCGATTATTCAGATTAGATGTTTGGTTTTGATTTAACACATCTAAATTGAATCCAAATTCAAGATGAGATGTAAATAATAACAGTTCGCGCGTGATCTCTGGGAAACAGGTGGGGACAACGCCTCTTATTGGTCAATTCGCCATTAAATTTCAAGCGGTCGCCTGGCGGAATAATGCTCGGGGCAGGGGCAGGGCAGGCAGTGTTGCACTCAGGCCACCGTCCGTCGCGTGTATCACTGCGTGCTCGTGTTTTCGTATTCACCTTGCTTGGTTGTTGCTGTTGTTGTTGTTAAGTGTATTTGTTAAGTTTCTGTTAAATACTGTCATCTTTGTTTTACAACAAGTTGGTGGTAGTCCATCATTCGGAGGTAGCCCTGAATGCGGCCCTGTACGCCGTACTTGCTTTTGGCAATCACGCATCCATTCTATCTTGGGTGTAAATACACTATAGACACGCTGAATGAGCTATTTTTATATTACTATTATACAGGGTGTCCGAAAAGTTGGGGTTTTCCTTTTCAGAAATAACTACCCTTGAAATAACAAAGGTAATGTGTAGTGAAACGAGGGCGTCCAAGTAAAAAAAATAAAGGTAAAAGTACTCACTCTGCAGTTGACGAGAAGGGCTAAGTACGTCTCTGCCCGAAATCATACCGCTCCAACAGAAAATGAAATCAGTTGATGCGCTACCGAGCAGACGCAGGCAAACAAGGAAGGCAAAATGTTGCGTAAAAAGTCTAGGTATTGCATCCCGTCCAATCGATTTGGGAGAATAAATGGTCCAATGAGCATACCGTTCACCATGCCAGCCCAAACATTCACCGAAAATGTTTGTTGAAAATGTGCCCGACGGACAGCGTGCGGATTTTCTACTGACCAAACATGAGTGTTGCGAAAGTTATTCACCTCATTACGCGTGAACGTAGATTCGTCTGTCACCAATATGCACTTCAAAAAGTCCGGATTATTGTCATGTTGATGCAACAACCACTCACAAAACCGCACTTTTGCTGGTTAGGTTGAAGGGCTTGTACACGTTGGACGTGAAACGGATACAGCCCCTCTTCACGCAGCGTTTGCCACACTTTAGTTTTTGATACTTGCACTTTTCTAGCCACGTCTCTAGTGCTTGTTGTTTTTTGAAACGCAATCGATTATACGGGTTCGTTTACCTCTACACCTGACCCCGACCCAGTTATGTCGTCGGGTTGAGCTAGTGTCCTAGTACCACTGGGGGATGTCGCGGCTACAGGACGGTATTCAGATATTTTTGATGTTGCAGAGCCCTTTATCTCGGTTCCCTTAAGACATTGGTGTATAAGGTACTAAGAAAAATTGCTTATGTTTTCAAGATCTACACGTCGTGTAAAGGAAAACCCCAACTTTGCGGACACCCTGTATATAGGAAGACAGTCATATTTACTTGACTACTTTATATGTTAAGGCATATTTGTACTAAGCAAGTCGGGTTGAATTAGGGAAGATGTAACATTTAAAATCGGATTAAATTACCGTAATATAAAATATAAATAAAAAAATGTAATATACAAAGAAAGATATATGAAATACACACGGCTAAAGATTCTGGTCCAGCAAGGTAATACAAATATATATCATTTCCTTGAACAACTAGCGGAGCCAGTATGTAGGGGGATGCGTTATACTGGAAGCATGAGGATTGGATTTGTACGATTTTCATGTTGCTCCATACATGGCTCGTGTCTGACTACGGGCGCACAACTGTCTTTGCAAACCTTCCAGACACACATTGAAAAATCCGCTCGTCTATAGGCCACTTTAAGGAGCACTATACACTTCTATAACCAAGCTAAATTCTTGTTTCATTAAATCTTTTATAAATACAACGTTTTCTAAAGCTCAGTAGAAGATATCTCAGAAGGAAGTGAAAAATATCAATATTGCTAAAGTTCTAAATTTTACTACGATCTAGTAAATTATGTATCGACAAAGTAATCACAGAAAAATATATTTTATTTGTCTAGGAAATCTAATGTACTAATGTTTCGGTGCCTTTGATTAGCACAGGTTTGGGAGAAAATTCGATACATTCATTTTCCATTATCAAACTAACTAACCCAACGGCATAACGAAGAATATAATAGCATTGTTTTATATATCCATCTGCCGTATTGTATTGAGTTTGTATGTTATGTTCATCATGTATGTAGCAGCTGTTAGGCAATTACTTTTTTCTATTTTTTTATAATTCTTAGTATCACTTCGCTGATGGTTATGTAGCCCGCAATTAGACTTCACTAAAAGTCTACGTGATTTTCATGCTACGAGTATTTGTTATGTTATTTAATAGACCTTATTGTTATTAAATATTTATATACTCAGGTACATAACTATATCCTTAGCAGTTAATCTGGCAAACATTTTTTATTTTTTGTTTATGGAAATTGGTAATTTCTGTCAAACCGTTTTTCCCAATAGGCTATTTTGCAGAGTAAGTAAATAAAAATGTTTGATTGATATGCTATATTTATAATCTCCACCAAGAGATTGACAAAGTGTAATTTTTTTATTTTGTACTTTGAGACGCAGGCATTTATTTAGAAGAATTTGAAAAAATTATATGATATATAATTATATAGAAATATATTTTTCAAAGTGCCACTTAAGGTACTCAATTATGTAAGAATTGACCCCGTGTTCCGCCTCTAACTCATCATACTTTATTTTACTACAAAATTCTACATTAACACGGTTATAGCTTCGCGGTAAAATTTTTTTCCGGATGGCGGGCACCAGTCCCCAATGGCAAAAATCATCTGCTGACTCCTTGATTTTTTCTGGTATTTATTTCAATTTTGGAAACATCCTGAAATTACTGAGAGCGAATACGGTTGCCGTAATAACATACGTGAAACGCAATGTACCTGCCAGATAGACCCGCTTCCCATCCTAACCATGTCGAACTTCGTACATCCAGAACTGGTCGATACAACCACTCACTTATCCTGAGGGTGTAGAGATTGTGAAACAATCTACAAGAGGAAGCTTTTCCCAGTTCTACTAACCTTAGGCAGTTCAAAAATCGAATTAGCAAAATTTGTTTGGGATCATCATAGCAGCCACAGTATCCCGGAATTTAGGCTTCTGCCTGCGCGGCTGCTCAGATATGTATGTATATAAATATAGGTGAAAAATAAAGCTTCCGCCTTTTGTTGGGTACTTCGACAAAATTTAAGCAAAGCGGACTCTTTATACTTTATTAATCTCTAGCTTTCAATGGACTTTGTCATCTTCATGTAATTTTAACTTTTGTTTTAAATATCTTTAATCCGTTTTAATTTATTCCTGACATACAGCTGTGTGTAGTTTCCCTCAACCTAAACATTAATAACATTTAGCAACAATCTCACATACGACTGGAAGATAATTTAAAATCATTTTGCACAATAGTTGCTATTTCTTCTCAATGTTATTGCAGCTCCTGATGAAGATGGCAAAGTCCATTGAAAGCTACAGAGTAATAAAGTATAAAGAGTCCCCTTTACTTGAATTGAACAAAAGGCGGACGCTTTATTTTTCACCTAACTGGTCTAAACGACATCAGCCACGTCTCAAGCTATATAAACATATATATATATATATATATAGAGAAAATGATCATGCGGAGAAAGGTATAAACAAAAAATAGTAAGATAATGGGCAAAATCCGCAAAAAGGAGGAAAGTGGATTCGAGCAGAAAATAGGATAGGTAACCCGAGCGATACTTATTTCTGCTGGTTGGCTTCATCGGGCCTGAAATGAATGCACATATGCAACTACAAAAGTAGATACACATGCCCACACATACAGATAGGGGTGTAAGCTGAGAAAGCGAAGATGGCCAGAAGACCTCGTATTTTCAAGAAGACATCTAACCACAACCACGCGGCCGGTTATAGTCACTTGCTGTGGTACTTTTATCCCAAAGGATCTACAAAGAGAAAAGAAAAAATGTCTCAGATGTTTCCTGGAAAATTCGAAGTCTTCTGGCCCTTTTATACTACCATGTGTAGGTTGGCTCTTGTGGACTTCGTGTGTCAATTTTTTTCCACTCCATCTTCGTTTCCTCAATTTACACCCGTATCCGTATGTGTGGGCATGTGTATCTACTATTGTAGTTGCATATGTGCATCCATTTCGGGCCTGATGAAGCCAACCAGCAGAAATACGTATCGCTCAGGTTACCTATCATATTTTCTGCTCGAATTCACTTTACTTCTTTTTGCGGATTTTTGTTATATATATATATATATGAAAAAAAACCAGCAAATTCTCGTAATCTGTGGACTCTGTCACAATTTTTATCAAAACAGTCTAATTGTCTACAAAGTTATTTCCAACACTTTTTTACATATTTATGGTGGAGGCTGTTTGATCAAACTCGTTTAACAAAATTGCGGCAATTGATCTAGCATTACTATTATGCCAAGTTGAACTTATCATTATGAAGGAATAACCTAAGGATCCAAGAAAGCCAGACAGACCGACGGAAATGAGTGACAAGGGTTTTCGTGATGCACATGTCATATGGTATATCATCCAAAAACCGTATCTCTTTTTTCGCTTTATTTTTATATGTTTTATATATATTTTTATACTATCTACTTCCTTTCCCAGCAAATATCTTTATCCAAAAGAAAAGTAAATTCGACCTAACTCAACCTCAAATAGCTATTTCGCGTCATAATCTCAAGTTCTACCATTGACTAACTAGATCTACATGGTTCGACACATATCAGAGTTTTAATGCACAAGAAATTTTGAGGCCGATTTCGGGTTATACGGAGCTATACGTCATCTTCGTGACAGAAGAGAACGGTGAATATACTTCTCCAGGTTTCGCACCTGGTAACATGTTATTCATATTCAATCTCCAAAGATCTTCTTAGTTTTTAGGAGTATTTAGACTTAGATCTGACAATTTTACTATAGTCCGCAGCAATAAGTTTGAAACCCGCCCCACAGGAAAAAAGACGATTGCGAGTAATTTGGGACCTTCTTTATAAACACTGTTTTAACCCCGGACCCTTTGCCGTACGCCGCTGTTTTCACTCCTTCCCCTTTTTAACAGCATACACATCCAATTCAATAAAAATGCTGCCATACTGTTACGTGTCCATATCGTCTGTTGATTCCCCCTCTCCTAAGATGAACTTTGCCTCTATTTCTCTTCTTTTGGTGGTGTTCTTCCTCTTTCTTCTGTTTGAGACTCCATCTTCGTCGTCCATCATGCGCACGATCAATGTTTGATCAGAGGTATCCAACGGAGCTACTGAGATGTCTCTGACAGCTCTAAACTTGCCGCAGTTGTTCAGATGTTCGTTTTCTAGGCGGAAAAAGTTCCACATGAATCTCCTAGAAAGAAAAAGGAAGACTTCTATTGTACGCTCTCGTATAATTGGGCATCAGTGAGATATCCTCGTAAAAACAGCGGAGCTATCTACCAGGCAACTAGAAGTTCTATCTGGAAGGCGAGGAACGCTCTGTGAATCGACGATTTGTACATATACAGGATGTCCTGAAAGTTGTGACTTTTCTCTTCATAAACAACTACGTTTGTAATGGCATGTGTGTTGAAACAGCAGCGGAAAGGTATAAAAGGTATGGAAAAGATATTTTGAATACAGTTCTGCCGCTTGTAAGTATTGTTTAAAGTTGTTTGCGATAGATTCAAATACACATTTATGTGCTCGATCATCAGTGTAGGCTAGAATGGACTCCCTTTGCTAAATGAATGAAGGAAATTGCTACATTCACACACATAGTTCGTCAACCGTCATACACTTCGTTTCGCCGCAAACAAAAAAATAAATCACGAAGGTTTTTGAAAAACGATCTGAATGCACTCGCGAAGCCTCGGTAGCATTTCGAAGATACCGTAAATTAAGATAGTACGGACGACTCTGATATCAATGTATGAGAGTGCCATTTTTGTTTTGTGTCTTCAACAACAAAGTCCCAACTTTTAGGACACCCTGTATACCCAAACAGCGAGTCAGCTGGCAGCGAGCGTCAACATAGCCCAGTCGACATAGCTTTATATTTGTCATAGATTAGTTGCAAGTGTTGTAAAAAATTAGTGTTGTTATCAAAACACGGTTTCATGTATGTACACTGTACAGGGTGTTTCAGTTTATTGTTGCATAACTTTAAGATTCGATAGTACTTTTAAAATTAATAATATTAATATAAACATGGGTCGAAAAATGCATTTTTTGGTACGACAAAACGAACCATGGGCATAGTTTTACTGTAGCCGCTAGATGGCGCTTTCTACTGTACCTGTAGTGTATTAAAATGACCGAAAAATTTTTCTTAGTACCAATTTTTTGCTTTTTGAATAAAAAAAAACTGATTCTTCGCACTTTTCAACATAAAAAAGTTCTCCTGTGAGTTTTCGTTATAGTTAGCCGTTTTTGAGATATTTCGATTTCTAAGGTTCGATGCATTTTTAATTATTTATGGGAAAATAATATTTTGTTTTACATTTTCGATTTGGGCATTACAAGTAATTAAGATGATCGTTTAGATTGCGTTTTTAGCACAGCAATAATTCCTAACTCCAAATAAACACAGAAAAACAGAATATTAATTTGTTTAATTTTCCAATATTATTTTTAACAAATTAAATTAATTATTTACAACTAAAATGCTATTGGATAGTTAGGACAAACATACAAAATCTAAAGTAGTTGCTTGAAATGTAAACCCAATTGTTCAATACACAATTCACATCTACGAATGATCGAACGTGGTATAGCATTATTCAAATAAGGCCTTATTTCATCACATGCATTCCTGATTCTGTCTATTAGCATATCTCTCGTGGTTACGGGAGTCTGGTACACTTTTTCTTTTAGAAATCCCCACACAAAGAAATCTAATGGATTCAGGTCAGGGGATCGTGGAGGCCAGGCCACTGGTCCTCCACGGCCGATCCATCTTTCTGGATAATTTTCGTCCAGCCAGTTTCTATTCTTGAATAATGAGCTGGACAACCATCAAGCTGGAACCAGGCCAATCTTCTTAAATCTAACATAACATCATCCCACATATTTGCATGTTCAGCCTTTAAAAATTCCAAGAAGGTCGCAGCATTTAACCTTGCAGGCAAAAGGTAGGGTCCAAATAGTCGATTACGGTAGATACCAATCCACACGTTCACACTAAATTCATGGTGAAAATTTCTTTCCCGAATGCGGATTTTCATGCGACCAAATATGTTGATTATGAAAATTTACCACTCCACTTCTAGTGAAGCATAACTCATCGGTCCATAAAACGTTACTTAAAAACTTCCTATTATTAACAGTTCTATCAAGAATCTACTGACAAAATGTGATTCTTCGTTCTCCATCTCCTGGCTGTAGTCCTTGCACAGGTTTCAAATGGTAAGGACCGTTATGGTCATTTCTAAGAACACGGTGAACATGGCTTGCTGAAATTCCCAAGGCACCAGAAACTCTCCTAACACTTGTGGTCGGATCTCTATCAAACTCACGCAGAATCATATGGGTAAATCTGCGCTGTCGAACATTTATGTTTTGATCTCTTTGGAGATTTCCAAAACCATTTTCAATTATTTGGCGATGCACTCTTACAAATACTGAGCGAGTTGGATGTCGTCTGTTTGGAAATCTTCGTGCGTATTCTCTGGCTGCTTCTGCTGCGTTTCCATTTACAAAGCCATACACAAAATGAATATCCGCTAACTCTTGATTGGAGAATAAAAATGGCATTTTTATAAAACTTACAAAAAAGACAGGTAAAAGAAACTAAATTTCGTGCATTCACAATTGCAAAAAAAACGTTTCAGGTTTCAACAGACAACAAAACTAACTGTCAACTAATTGACGTTTAACCTTATTCTGCTTTCAATTTCAAAAATATTTGCAGGCACAGCCTACTTCTAAAAATTATCGAGATACTGACTTTTTAACGTTATTTTATCATACATAATTAAAAATGTATCGAACCTTAAAAATCGAAATATCTCAAAAACGGCTAACTATAACGAAAATTCACAACATAGCTTTTTATGTTGAAAAGTGCGAAGAATCGGTTTTTTCATTCAAAAAGCAAAAAATTGCACTAAGAAAATTTTTTCGGTCATGTTAATACACTACAGGTACAGTAGAGAGCGCCCTCTAGCGGCTACAGTAAAACTATGCCCATGGTTCGTTTTGTCGTACCAAAAAACACTTGTATACCAATTTTCACTGTTATGCATCAAATATTGTTCGAAATATTAAAAAAAAACATTTTAGAAAGTAAATTTAAGCACCCTGTATTTCGGAAGCCACGCATTTTTCGACCCATGTTTATATAGACTTTATGCATTAATTTTAAAAGTTCTATCGAATCTTAAAGTTTTGCAACAATAAACTGAAACACCCTGTATAATCTTATGTGATATGATGGTGCTTAAATACCTGAACACTTCCAGGGGAGCTAAGATAGTGATCATGTTGTTCTCTAACGCAAACCCCATTTCAGTGAGGGATATGAGAAATGCCCAGCCAAATCGTAATACGAAATCTTCAAATATACCGAAGTAGTAGAACCACTGAAAAAAAAAATGGTTTATAATATGAACAGCTTGTTGCAATGAGGTACCTAAGCTACATTGACTTTACTTCGAGGAATCTAAAGTTATAAGTTAAGACTAAAATCACCTTCTAAAACGCCATTTAGAACTTATAGCGACATCTATCAGCGCTAAGTGTATTTTTGGATGGAAATATGTTTATTTAATCAAATGTGGCTTAGGTACCCCAAACTCTTCGTATTTCCTATGTACAATTTATAAAATTGAAAGCACTGAGCTCTCTATAGTTCATCATTCCTAAAAACACTGTATACTGACCACTGATGGGTATACGATTTCTTCCCTCAGAAACTTGTTATCTCCAGCCTTTGAGTCAAAGAGTCCCCAGTCAAGTTTGATATCCCAGGTGTATGCATAGCACGAGCTTATCAGAGATGAAACTATCCATAGGTAGAGAAAAGGATTCTCGCCAGAGGCGTAGTCGTCTACAAAGTTAGGTACAGTTTATCCTGGGAATAGCATGAACCATAATAAAAAATAAACAGTAAACATGACAGAAAAAAACATAGAACATTAAGACACAATGATGGAGTAACTAAAATATGTACGCACTGTTTGAGCCTTATATCTATCATAAAGGGTGTTTTCATTTTGGGAATTTCTTTCACGTGGCATGTAGTTCTTAAAAATTAGTAACTCTTCCTACTAACTCAAACGCCAACGTCTTGAGATAAGCGAGATATGAGGTTTAGAAAAATTTGCAATACCAAATGCGTCCGCATCCAACTCATCGAGTCAGTAAACCGAGCTGTATGTTTATAGATCAGATTTTGAGTATCCGAAAATCATACAACCCTTTAGCAATAACGAACTTGTCGGTCGCCATTTTTTCCTTCATAATATATTATTCTCTTGATCAAGTGACACATAAAATACTATTTCATAATGTACAATGTTTTGTGTTTGCTTTACCCAGTTGGAAAACAGTGAAGATACCTTGATAAAATAAAGCTAATTTAGAAAATTAGGTAAAACGTTTCAAAATTGATGAACAAACAGAAAGAAACGGGAGGAGAGAACGAAATCATAACTTATGAGAACAAAACAACCTTTATTCAGTCACTGACATAGCAGATACTTATTCCATCATACAAAATGGTAAAAATTTAGCTGAAATGTCTACCTATAAAAATTTTTACCGTCTTTTAATTTTACACCCCAACGCTGACAACTGGCAAGCGCTCAGAGTGATCGCTACTCTAGCGTTACTTTGTGATGAAAGTACCGGTGCGATAGTTGAAATTTCGTTTCTCCACTTTCTCTCATATTTCACTGCAGCTTAGCTTCGTTGCTTTAGGTATCGTTATTTTTTAGTAGGAAAACTCCAACTTTTGGAACACCCTTTACGAATCGGCTTTGAATCTATTGTTTCTACAGACAAAACAGGAACAATTACCTACTTGCATATACCTTGCTCAAAGTTGAGAAAATGATGGCAAAGAACGACGTTGAGTATTTGACAGCGTTGATTATGTGCGGAAATGCTTCTTTAGTATCTCTATATCGCCTCAAGCATTGAGCGAATCTGAACCAAGGCGGAAGACAAGCCATGAAAGTTCGGATGCCGAGGAAATTCACTACACAGTAGTTGGAGTCTAAAAGAGAACAAATCAGTCAGTTATATATTGGCCACCCGTATATAATGTACGTTTCAACACCCACAATGAAACTTATTGCCCGCAAGGACAATTGATCATTGTACTACATCACTTTTTTTTCTACTTACCTACGCCCACAGACCAGTTAGGATTTGTCATGTAGAAGCAAATCAAATACTGCGTATCGGTAAAAAGTGTGGTCAAACTGTTGAGTTGATCTGCGACCCAAAAGTCTGCAAACGAGACGTAGAACAGTGGTGCCATAAATGCCTTACCCTGAAAAAGTGAGATTGTAGTATTTACAAAAAACCCACTGTTCATGGAAGTATACTGCAAAAGGTGCTGGTCTTGTGGTCTTGGCTTGAATTAAATGATGTCTTACAATTGTAGAATTTACTTGCTTTCTGTGGGCTTTGAATCAAGGTCAAGCTTCAAGGTTACGTTATCCTTTTGAAGGATCGCATTGAATAATGAGCTTTAACAATTTGACCTCCAAATAAACAAGCTCAATGTCAAGGTCACACAGAAGATCATCATAAAGACACTGTGACCTTGAACTCTAATATGCGACTCCGAACCTGTGTCTGATCTGAATCTAAAGTTTACATACAATTTGAAGCTATCGTGCCTTTTTAGTCTTGGTTCGGATAGAAAACCTAGGTACCTAGTACTTTGACTCAATAGATCCTGAGATACTTTTCTTACAACTGAAATATACTAAGTGACATATAAATCCGAACACCCAGTTTAAATGGTTTTATTTTACTAAACGTTGGTGAATGTATTTATTTTACTGTAAATAACAAGTGAAAAAATGTTCAGCCTTATCAGTTGGACATTCCGGTTTTTATACTGCTTTTTCTTAATTCACTAACGCTCTAAAGATGAATATTTCAGCCGCAGTAAAGAATCAACGTTGGCGGATTTTGGTTCTTGACATCCTTTACGATCGGTTACGATGCCTAGAGTACGGAGACCTGTACGATTTTGTCTACCTAGTGAGTTTGATAGGGGCCGTATAATGGGACTTCGGGAAGCTGGACTTTCTTTTCGGGCAATTGCAGTTAGAGTGCAAAGAAGTGTAGACACTGTGGTTAGGTGTTGTCAGGCATGGCTTCGAGAAGGCCGTACGCAAAGAGCAAGGGGCAGTGGACGCCGCCGTAGAACAACAGACCGTGAAGATCGCCGCTTAAAATTATTGGCCTTAAGGGACCGTTTCTCCACTACCAGGTCCATTGCAAATGAATGGTTTGCAGAACACGGAAGACCTATTGGCATGCGAAGTGTTTACCGACGAATGAGAAGTTTTGACTTGTTTTCATACCGGCCACACTGGGTCCTCCCTTTAACTCGAGCACACCGACGTAATCGCCTTGAGTGGTGCAGACAACGGTCACTCTGGGATCAGGAATTTAACAGTATTGTCTTTAGTGACGAGTCTCGATTTTGTTTAGGCATGCACGATGGTCGTGCCAGGGTTAGAAGGCGACGTGGTGAAAGGAGGAATCCACAGTTTTTTGTTGAAAGACATGTTCATCACACTGTTGGAGTTATGGTTTGGGGTGCTATAGCTTATGGTTCCAGGTCACCATTAATCTTCATCAGAGGTAACATGAACGTGCAGCGTTATATCCACGAAGTTCTAGAACCCCATCTTTTACCCTATCTTGACACCCTGGCAGATCCAACTTTCCAACAAGATAATGCCCGACCACATGTTGCAAGAATCACAATAGACTTCTTTCAACATAATGATGTCACATTGTTACCATGGCCACCAAGATCTCCCGACTTATCCCGAATTGAGCACATGTGGGATATGATGGGTAGGAGATTGCTCAATTTGCAACGTCCTCCTCAGACTCTAGAAGCACTTCGAGAGGAGTTGGTGGTTGCCTGGAATGAGATACCACAGGAGGACATTGACCACCTGATCAGAAGCATGCCTAGGCGCGTTGGAGAATGCGTAGCACATTAGGGTGCATCCACACACTATTAAAGGTCAAAGGGCTTTAAAGCAGTGCAATCATTTTGAAATTTTTATCATTTACTTATTATGCTTGATTAAGTACTTATACAAAATTTTATTAAAATAAAACCATTTAAACTGGGTGTTCGGATTTATATGTCACTTAGTATACTATGGAGTCATAGGCATCGCCGATGATCTGATGAGATCATACTTAAGCATTCGTTCTTAAATAGTATTATAGCTGAGAATGGTGATCTGTGTTATTCTAGAGAAGCGAAGATTGGTTTGGAGGTTCCACAGGGGTCCATTCTTGGACCGACAAAATGTTTCGTGTACATAGGCGATCTATCTAAACCTATTGACTTAAACTTTTTTATTTAGATACGCTGGTGATATGAGTGTTTGATAAAAGCATAAAACAGTTGTCTCAGACATACCTGTACATATCGAGAATATGTATTGATACAAAACTAAACCTCTATAAATACAGGAAAAACAGTTATTACTACAATAATGTGATCTCTAGAAACTGTAATAATCTAAGGGTACCCAACTTATAAAGCTTGTGCTTTACCAGCACATGTAAAAGAATGTACAGATACATATGGTTTCAAAAACTTTGAAAGCGTATTTAATCGAAAAGGCCTGTTATCCAATGAATGAATATTTTAACTATCCATACATCCTTGGATGTACTGTTTTTGTGTGTACGTATGACGTATTTGAATGTTAAAATGTAATATTTATGTGTTTATTTTTTGCTAATGTTGACGTTGTCTATCTTTACTACTGTAAACCTTATCACAATAAATTATTATTATTATGATGCTATACCTACCAGGACCCTTAACGTCCAAAACCTAGCCTCATGTCTAAATGTCTTAGTGGGATTAACGACAAACAGCAGCATCACAATCAACAGTACCAATGGGTTCGCATACGCAGGAACCCCAAGTCTGTCACTATACAGGAACGACAGCACCGAAACCGACCAAAGCACTCCGAAAATGGCGGCCATTTCGATGATGTGCTGCTCTGACAAGTGGTTTCGGGGGTCCATTTCGAAAATGAGCACGTGGTTGACGCCTGATGATCGCCAGCCGTAGATGTTGACGCCCCAGAGGAAGAGGAATTCCACGATGAGCAAGGGGCCGCGGTAGAGGCGGGTCACCGTCAGCCAGTCGGTACGGTCGTGGTACATTCCTTGAAAAAGATACCAACGGTCAGTGTGTGGAGAGAAAAATATACTAAGTGACATATAAATCCGAACACCCAGTTAAAATGGTTTTATTTTAATAAAATTTTGTATAAGTACTTAATGAAGCATAATAAGTAAATGATAAAAATTTCAAAATGATTGCACTGCTTTAAAGCCCTTTGACCTTTAATAATGTGTGGATGCACCCTGATGTGCTACGCATTCTCCAACGCGCCTAGGCATGCTTCTGATCAGGTGGTCAATGTCCTCCTGTGGTATCTCATTCCAGGCAACCACCACCTCCTCTCGAAGTGCTGAGGAGGACGTTGCAAATTGAGCAATCTCCTACCCATCATATCCCACACGTGCTCAATTGGGGATAAGTCGGGAGATCTTGGTGGCCGTGGTAACAATGTGACATCATTATGTTGAAAGAAGTCTATTGTGACTCTTGCAACATGTGGTCGGGCATTATCTTGTTGGAAAGTTGGATCTGCCAGGGTGTCAAGATAGGGTAAAAGATGGGGTTCTAGAACTTCGCGGATATAACGCTGCGCGTTCATGTTACCTCTGATGAAGATTAAAGGTGACCTGGAACCATAAGCTATAGCACCCCAAACCATAACTCCAACAGTGTGATGAACATGTCTTTCAACAAAAAACTGTGGATTCCTCCTTTCACCACGTCGCCTTCTAACCCTGGCACGACCATCGTGCATGCCTAAACAAAATCGAGACTCGTCACTAAAGACAATACTGTTCCATTCCTGATCCCAGAGTGATCGTTGTCTGCACCACTCAAGGCGATTACGTCGGTGTTCTCGAGTTAAAGGGAGGACCCAGTGTGGCCGGTATGAAAACAAGCCAAAACTTCTCATTCGTCGGTAAACACTTCGCATGCCAATAGTTCTTCCGTGCTCTGCAAACCATTCATTTGCAATGGACCTGGTAGTGGAGAAACGCCCTTAAGGCCAATAATCTTAGGCGGCGATCTCCACGGTCTGTTGTTCTACGGCGGCGTCCAGTGCCCCTTGCTCTTTGCGTACGGCCTTCTCGAAGCCATGCCTGACAACACCTAACCACAGTGTCTACACTTCTTTGCACTCTAACTGCAATTGCCCGAAAAGAAAGTCCAGCTTCCCGAAGTCCCACTATACGGCCCCTATCAAACTCACTAAGTTGACGAAATCGTACAGGTCTCCGTACTCTAGGCATCGTAACCGATGGTAAAGGATGTCAAGAACCAAAATCCGCCAACGTTGATTCTTTACTGCGGCTGAAATATTCATCTTTAGAGCGTTAGTGAATTAAAAAAAAGCAGTATAAAAACAGGAATGTCCAACTGATAAGGCTGAACATTTTTTCTCTTGTTATTTACAGTAAGATAAATACATTCACCAATTTTTATTAAAATAAAACCATTTAAACTGGGTGTTCGGATTTATATGTCACTTAGTCTATATCGTGAAAAAGATAATTCTGGAGGTCAATGTTCAGGAGCAATTAAAGAGACCAGATGCTTCAATTATAGAAGGTTTGTCCAGCGTTGACTGAGTAATCATGTCTGGCCGACAACTAAAACCACTAGTTCGTACAGAAAATACATAAGTGACGGACTGGAAAGCATTTTTATTCAGGTTCAGCTAAGCCACAAACATTGACAAAATATTTCGGATTCTCCGAGAAGGAATTCTCAGATCGAAAAATTTGGTAACTTCTCAATTTGATTTGATAATACCAGAAACTTATTTAGAATAACGTGAACGTGATTTATAAACTTTCCTGTACTTTTTGATAATCTCATAAAAGAAATATTTAAGTTTCCAGCACTCCTTGTATCATAGTCAGTATGCAAGATTTATCTTCACGACAATTTAAAAACAGCCTAGCACACACCAGTGCTTCATAAATATATAGAAGTCAATCTAACTATTCTCGATCCTCTCTATTCCCCAAAATAAGATACTATAGAATATTAAAGAGTGGCATAGAGAAAAGTGAAATGACTTCAATATGTCACTATTCAGCGCATATGATAAGCTTTTAAGCAAAAAAAAATGTTTTCTATTAGCTTTTTTGCTGCTTCGTCAAGGTGCATGTCCCATTTCAATTTTTTGTCTACATGTATACCTAGAAATTTTCTATGTTCTGTATTTTGTGATTCTAGATCTTTCAATCGAAATATCATATTCACTGTCTTGTTTTCATTCAATGTCAGCTTATTTGCATCAAAGTCGGCTATCAGGATCTCAAGAAGCTCAGAAATATTTTTAGGTCTAACAGAGATTGTAGTGTCATCAGCAAATGGTATATCGTATTCACCTTTGTGTTTTGGCAAATCATTGATGTACATCAGAGATAAAATCGGCCCTAGTACTGAACCCTAGGGTCGAGTTCAATATATACTAAGTGACATATAAATCCGATCACCCAGTTTAAATGGTTTCATTTTAATAAAAGTTGGTGAATGTATTTATCTTACTGTAAATAACAAGTGAAAAAATTGTCAGCCTTATCAGTTGGACATTCTGGTTTTTATACTGCTTTTTTTTAATTCACTAACGCTCTAAAAATGAATATTTCAGCCGCAGTAAAGAATCAATGTTGGCGGATTTTGGTTCTTGACATCCTTTACGATCGGTTACGATGCCTAGAGTACGGAGACCTGTACGATTTCGTCAACTTAGTGAGTTTGATAGGAGCCGTATAGTGGGACTTCGGGAAGCTGGACTTTCTTTTCGGGCAATTGCAGTTAAAGTGCAAAGAAGTGTAGACAATGTGGTTAGGTGTTGAAAGGGATGGCTTCGAGAAGGCCGTACGCAAAGAGCAAGGGGCACTGGACGCCGCCGTAGAACAACAGACCGTGAAGATCGCCGCCTAAGATTATTGGCCTTATGGGACCGTTTCTCCACTACCAGGTCCATTGCAAATGAATGGTTTGCAGAACACGGAAGACCTATTGGCATGCGAAGTGTTTACCGACGAATGAGAAGTTTTGGCTTGTTTTCATACCGGCCACACTGGGTCCTCCCTTTAACTCGAGAACACCGACGTAATCGCCTTGAGTGGTGCAGACAACGGTCACTCTGGGGTCAGGAATGGAACAGTATTGTCTTTAGTGACGAGTCTCGATTTTGTTTAGGCATGCACGATGGTCGTGCCAGGGTTAGAAGGCGACGTGGTGAAAGGAGGAATCCACAGTTTTTTGTTGAAAGACATGTTCATCACACTGTTGGAGTTATGGTTTGGGGTGCTATAGCTTATGGTTCCAGGTCACATTTAATCATCATCAGAGGTAACATGAACGCGCAGCGTTGTATCCACGAAGTTCTAGAACCCCATCTTTTACCCTATCTTGACACCCTGGCAGATCCAACTTTCCAACAAGATAATGCCCGACCACATGTTGCAAGAGTCACAATATACTTCGTTCAACATAATGATGTCACATTGTTACCATGGCCACCAAGATCTCCCGACTTATCCCCAATTGAGCACGTGTGGGATATGATGGGTAGGAGATTGCTCAATTTGCAACGTCCTCCTCAGACTCTAGAAGCACTTCGAGAGGAGTTGGTGGTTGCCTGGAATGAGATACAACAGGAGGACATTGACCACCTGATCAGAAGCATGCCTAGGCGCGTTGGAGAATGCGTAAAACATCAGGGTGCATCCACACATTATTAAAGGTCAAAGGGCTTTAAAGCAGTGCAATCATTTTGAAATTTTTATTATTCACTCATTATGCTTCATTAAGTACTTATACAAAATTTTATGAAAATAAAACCATTTAAACTGGGTGTTCGGATTTATATGTCACTTAGTATATATCGTATTCACCTTTGTGTTTTGGCAAATCATGTACATCAGAAATAAAATCGGCCCTAGTACTGAACCTTGGGGTCGAGTTCAATATAGTTTTCATCTGATGTAGTATTTAAAATTTTTACTAACGGTTTTCTACATATACATTCTGAGCTTTTTGATTATAGTGCTAGTTGATGCAATCTGTGCACATGCCTAAATTTTTTATTTACAACTATGCGTGATAAGCTAATTGATACTATTTTCGTATAAAAATGTTGAAGGATAGCTCTATTATTAGCGACGCCGGGCCTTATAAAAGTGAACTATTGTATCTTCTATTGTATGCATTATATAACACATTGACTCCTTCGATTTGTTACCTACCGCTGAGAATCACAGATATGAGCAAAACAATCAGGGCCCCCGAAAACAGTCCAACCTTGAACGTAGTCCAAGGACTCTGCTGTTCACCTAACGGTGGCACCCTTAACCTCTTCATCGCCCTCTGTCTGTCACCACCCTCTAGCTCTTGCGTAAACGTTGCTTCTGTTTCTCGTATCAGTTTGTCTATGTCCTTGTTTGTGTAGAAATGGGAGCTTTCCACGTGTTCTACTCGCCATTTTGCTCCCAGGTCTACGGTTAGGAGCTGGAAAGAAGGAGCAAACAGAAACTAGAATCTATTATAAGTGACGTTGTGTTACACTTGCAAAATAGAGTCAAGGAAGTTAGAAAATTAATGTCTACAAGCTATTTGCTAACATATGTAGACTACACACTTACTACTTTAAGCAAAAGGTATAATATAGTAGGAAACTTGGGTCTCAAGTTCTGGGCGGATTTGTGTTAAAAGATCGACTATCAAACGCTTTTATCTGATTTCCATTCAGGCCTAATCGCTCACTTCAGGCTGCTCACGCACATAATTTTTTTCATCAAACGTTGCTAAGAGCCATATCGATAGATGGGATCCTTGATAAAAAAAAAACACTTATATTTTTATCCATCTATTGGCAAGCAACGACATCAGCCAGATTGACTCATAGACACATACACAGGTACAACTGTTATACTTCTAGCAACCTTAGTTCTTGTATGCGGGATAAATAAAGACTCCTGAAAGTAATTAATCGAATTAACACTCGAGCAAGCGGGGCAGATTGGTACCAAAGACCCTTACCCTTACCCATGTTATTATTTCGGGCGCACTAGAGCTTGGTCTGGTATGAAATCTATCTTGAGATATATTTGTGTCTAGACAGCCGACGTATCAGAATCACCCTCATACAGAAGGTGGAGGTCACTATTTTAGTAACATGTTTTCATCCGATAAAACAACTGAGTTTTGTTCGCCAACAACAGGAAAATAAAACGAATGTATCGGTAAAGTTTACACGTGAATAGATGAATATATAATAGATGCGCTGACGCTGCACATACAGAAAGAAAAAGGAACTAAAACAAATCGAAAATAGAGAAAAGAGGGTGAGTTGTTGCGTGCACAATGAATACTTATATAGGGCGATTTATTTTTTATAAAGTTATAGAATGCTTTAAACTGAATAGGCTAGGCGTTAGGTATATGATGCATCCTTAAGAAGAAATATAATCTTACCCGTAATAGCTCAAAAATGAGGGTGTCAGTATCGCAATACATTAAAGCGCAACCGCACCTTTGGCCTATGTGGCGAACACCTTAACACGTGATTACATCATTTACTTGAATTACCAGCAGTTGAAATTTTGTATATATTTCCTAGTCCTAATTCTTTCGATAGACAAGAAACAAGTTCTTATTCACATGATTCGGATTCTTGGGTTATATATGTGTTAAAAAGTGTCCAACGTTTCAGCGTTTACATTTCGACTCCAAGGCTATCGAATGATACACAGAACACATCCCAAGGGATAACAACCATCACTTGGGTTAGATATGAAAGACAAATAAATTGATGAAACATGGAAAAACAAACTAAAGCGGTATGGTGTATCTGAAGTCACTTGAAATAGCATAAAAACCTTTGGTCGGCGCGTCCTTTGTAATTTCATGACGTATCATAGGCGTGCGGCATTTATTTAGAACGATAATAATAATGTTTTTATATCACAATAAATGGATTTTACTATCTTCTTATTTTTTTGATTTGGGATAAAAAATACTTATTTTGGGAGTTTAATTTATGTTGACTGAAAGTTAAGAAATGGAAAAATTACAGAATTCCAACGTTTGACACAGGCAAATATTTACATAGCAGGTAGGTATATAAAAAGGTATATAAAGACTTAGATTATAGGTATTTATATACCATCCTCGCCTTCGGAGCTGTCGCTAGAGTCATCTTGTAGAGGAATTACAACGGGATTTACAGGAGCCAAAACACAATATTCATTTTCTTCTTCAATAATATGCCTAGAACACTGCTTCCATAGGTCTGTGGCAGCAATATGAGATACTGCATCTCTTATTGTGTCCAATAGCGATTCACTTAATTGAGGGGTCTGATTATGTTTCCTTACTTTTTTTTTAAAGCAGCCCAGACCAACTCAATCGGGTTAAAAATGCAGTAATAGGGAGGTAGACGTAATACTTCATGGCCATTTTGCTGAAGCAGATTGTCAACAGCATACTCTTTTTCAAATTTTTGTCTTTTAATAAGATCCAATAATATGGCTTTGGTTGATTTTTGTGGTATTTCCATTCCCTTATCCTTCATAAAATCAATAATGTCTTGTTTTTTTGTGCCTGTATTCGGAATTTTGTTTTTCTGTCGGGAATGGTATGGCGCATTGTCCATAATAATCACTGAATTTGGGGAAATGTTTGGTATTAACTGCTGCTTTTCAAATAAGTCGGAGGTCATGTCCTCATGATAGTCGGCACATGATTCTTTGATATTTTTGGCAGATAACAGCAAGGCATTAGGTATAAATCCATTTTCACTGCCAGCATGGAGAATAATGATTCGTTTTCCACGGTTGCATGGTGCATTTAAAATGCACTTGTTGCTGTCGTCAACCCTGCCGTACTGCACAACATCATGGGTATCATACCACGTTTCATCCAGGTAAATCAGATTTCTTTTCTGCTCTCTATAGATTTTAATTTTTTTGCAAAAATTCTTGGCGCAATTCAACGATTCGAGACGACTCCATAATCACCATTCTGTTATCTAATTTTTTGTATTGAAAACCACACAGTTTTACAATACAGTGCAGTGAGTCTAAGCATTTGTAATTATAAAAATCTTCAGGATAATCTTTTAATTTATCCCGTATCATTTCCAACGTGGGCACAAAATTTTCTTTATAAAATCCGTATATTATACGACGAATATCTTCCTGAAAACCCACGTCTATTCTTTTTAATTTTTGCCCTATGCGCTTTCTGTGGAAGGAATGGTTGACTACATCTCCCCTCTTTATAACCCGATAAATGGTAGACCGACTGATTTTTGTCAGGATACAAATTCTGTTTAAAATTTGATTTTGCGAGGAATCTGGATTTTCGTTTTTCAGACAATCATACATATTTAGGATTACCCTTTGGGTCTGTTCCTCTAAATCTTCATGAAAGAATTCTGCCTGCACAGGTTCATCAACCATCTCCTCGTGGCTTGGAGCATTTTCCCAAGGTCTCCAAAGAGCCATATTTAGGACACACAAGAACAATCAACACAACAATTAAATCAACAAGTAAACTGAGTATTCAAAAGTCAAAAACACACAAACTAATAAAATCTATGAAAAAACACGGACAGACTAAAGAAAACACGTTTATTCACCGCTACACGGCACTGGCTAAACTGTTTCAATTTTCAGTAGCCACCTGCACTTGTTCCGAGCTCTGAAATCCACGCTTTCTCATTGGCTATGTCCACGCATAGGCGTGCTTTACTCCACGTGGACCGGTGAAACTGCCTTTGATCTCTTATACGGGGGATATTTGCTGCGAAATTTGGCGATTTTTGCAGCAACAGAGCGTGTTAAATATAGATATATAAAACGCACCTGGTATTTCACAGTGTTTCAAGTGACTTCAGATAAAGTATACCAGTTTCGACCCCAATGCTTTTGCTGGTTGGATTAAGGCAGTGTTATAATCTGTACTGGCATCATTTTGTGTCTGTTTTTCATGCTATATTCATTGTTTTATTTTCGATAGCTGACCTGTAGGATGTTTCCTGTGGGGAAGACAACAAATTAATGCCAAAACATTGGAAACAATTCTTAACTTCTGTATACCCCAAGAAACCCGAGAAACTGCAAGTAAATATTTTGATAGCGCTAGGGTTCTCATTACTCATTTAAGCGACGTACATAATTTGAATTCCATTCTCTTATAGTTCAGGAACGAAATGTGAACACATAAACGTTTGAATCAGTCTTGAAAGTTCTGTCAAATCGCCCTCTCTCCCTTTGCCTGTAATGATACTAGGTACGCACACTTACCTTATCATGCTTTTTCAGTATCTTCCTAAATCCAGTGAAGTTGAGGTTTTGATAATTTTGCAGTAGTATTAGACTAAGGTAAAATTCACTAAAAGCTAATTTGACTTCTTGCATTTTTCTAGCAGGTACATTTTTTGTTCTCAAAAAGTTATTTCTTATGCTATGATGCGTCTTTCCTCTAAACTGCCAGTCTTGCGTATCGCTCAGCTCACTCTTCAAGCTGGCGTATTTTCTTTGAGCTTCCGCCAACTTTTCTGGAAAGAAACGGTATCGAATAGACTAACTGTGTCAGTTGGAAAGTGTGGAAAACGAGAATCATCAAGTTGTGCTATCTCGCACCCTAGTTAAGGTATCAAAAATCAGAAAATTTATCAGGTCTATCTGCTCGGATGCCACACGAAATGAAGAAATATAAGTGAAGAAGAAGAATCTGCAGCAGGAGGGTTAACAGGAGGAAGAGTGTCGACTGGTTGGGAGTCTCGACATTGCTAACTGAAATTAGGGGATTTTAGGTTGAATGCATACTCACCAGAATAAAATGTGTTGATTTTGGTAAGTTCTTTATCACAGTAAGAGAAGAATTGCTCATCGAAGGTGGCAAAGTAGCGGGTCAAAACGTCAGGCTCTACGAGTTCTGCTGATGGTGCTTGCTCTACTGCAGCGTAGAGCATTGATTTCATTTCCTGAAATGAGTCAAATTTATATGGGATTACCCAGATTGTATAGATGTCGTCTCCTTCTTTCTCATCTTATATTATATAGATCCATTTGACCAAGATAGGAGAGTTTTTCAGGTGCTTTGCGTGTTGCTTGTGCGTTTTGCGTGGCCTGGGCCATCAGTCAGGAGAGTTAGGATCCGCTTATTTTTAGATTATTGTATCTCGAAAGAGCTAGAAAGTAAAAACGGGATGGTATTGTTGCGACAGATCACGAAATGAGAAAGAGGACGAGCCATTCTGACGAGCTGTAACGGTCATTGCAATAATAGGATTTCACACAATTAGTTTTGAAGTACCTTTTTGAGCATAATGTGGTACACGAGTCCTCAAAGATTGTAGTTTCCACTAACCTTCACAGCTTGTCGTTAATAATAATTGAAGAAACCCGAAAAACAGTTCTGGACTAACGCTGTGTTAGCAGGAAATAGATTTAGTGGTATATAACTTAAGCAAAAGAATCATGATATCCTTTTGTTGCTTATTATTGAAAATGCCTGCTCAAATATCAACTTCTTTTCATGTCACATGTTTAAACTTTACATGTTTTAATATTTTTGACGTACAAGTGGAAAATCGAGGCAAAGCAAACACCGTGAGAGAATTTAATGTTCTGTTTGAGAAATGAATCATGAGAAAGTACATAAACTTATTCAATAATCGGCAATCGGTAGTAGAACCCACGGGTTTATTTGACTACCAGACAGGAAAATGATACAGATTTTGCAAGTAGTTGTTGCACACTTCTATGCTGTCTTTGCGGACAGCTTTTTGGAATGTTTAGCCTTACAATTATTAACAATGCCAAGTGGAAAGAAATAACTTAAGACTTGAAAATGCGCTTGGAGCTTTTCAAACTGAGATTTCTTTAGAGCTCCAACTAAACGGTCTAACTCTCTTATTGAAGTAAACTGGTTTAAAATAATACATTTGTGCATCAATGACATATGTATATTAATAATAATACTGACTTTTTATACAGGGTGGCGCATCGAAAACGAAACAGAGTCATTTACTGGCAGCTCAGTTTTTTTTTTTGGAAAAACGCTCAGACCCGTCGATTTTGTTTTCGAGGGGGACACAAGTTTGGCAAAAAATCACGTTAGCACGTGCAGCCCCCTAAGCGGGGGTAACACCACCCCCAAAATCTTAAATGGAAAGGGGGAGTCGAGTGATACCTTATTTTAAAGGTCCTTCAATTCCCTTTATAATGATATAAAATTCTTGTACTTCAGTTCAGTAGTTTTGAAGATTTATTGATTTAAAGCTTAAATAAAACTAAAACATCATCATTAGTGGAGATCAATACATTTGGCAGCAAAGTAATTTAAAAATGAAGAATGAATTGACCCGTTAGGCAAGTAAATGTTGAAAATGGCCACCATGACTCTCCATGCAATAATAAAGATTTTGCTCAAAACATTGCCGCACATTTTGCAATATTTGAGGAGTAATTTGAAGGCACTCATTCACAATTCTTTGTCGCAGGTCTTCTAATGACGTTGGCTGAGTAGCATAGATTTTGCTTTTTAAATGACCCCACATAAAGAAATCCAAAGGTGATAAATCTGGCGATCTTGGGGGCCATTCAATGGCACCTCTTCTACTAATCCATCTATCTGGAAACGCCTGATCTAAGTATTGTCGAACACGTAATGCGTAATGTGGTGGGGCCCCATCCTGTTGGAACATCAACCGATTCGCAATGTACCGCCGATCATCCTGATTTTCAATTATGGCTGTTAATGCAGGATCTATGGTGTCTTCCAGTAATTCCAAATACATTTCACCGGTAAAATTTCCAGATAAGAAAAAAAGGACCAACGAAACGATCGCCAAAAATACCAGCCCAAACATTTAATTTTTGTGGCTGCTGTGTATGAACCTCATGATAAATTCTGGGATTAGAATCGGACCAATATCGGCAGTTATGAAGATTTACTACGCCATTTAAGAAAACGGAACATTCGTCGGAAAAGCAAGTGTTGAATAGAAAATGTTCGTCGTTTATAATTCGTTCACTCATATCTTCACAAAATTGTAATCGCCGATCAAAATGGTCTTCATTAAGTTCTTGTACCAGGTGAATTTTATACGGATGAAAATTATGGGCCTTTAGAATCCGTTGGACAGTACGTCGACTAACGCCACACACAGTCTCCAATTTGCGGGTACTTAACGTAGGATCTACATAAACTTGCCCTAAAACCCCCACTTCTATTGCTTCGTTCCTTATGGGATTTTCAATGTTGCGTTTTTTATTGGCGACTGACCCAGTTTCCCGAAATTTAGCTACGAGTTCTAGAATATATTTTCGATGCATGTTACTGTTCTCAAAAATATTTCTATAATTTCAACTCTATTTACTGTGGAATATACCATGGTTAATTTATGTAATAAAGCGTTACAAGTTATTTTAGCAACAAGGTTTGGTCAAATCAATCGCAAACTATGTACTAAATTCCTATTTAAGATAAGTACGAGTTATTTCCTTATCTTTCTTCAAGAAAACAACGCTCCAATAGCTATTTTCAACAACAAAATTATAAACAAACCATGGGTGTAGTGAAGAAAAGCATTTACTTATTAAGTAAATTCTTATAGTCAAATTTCTTCTGAAAGTAGTACAAACTAATCTGATGTACCTATTAAACTCTACTTTAAGCTTTAAATCAACAAATCTTCAAAAGTACTGAACTGAAGCTCATGTATTTTACATCTTTATAAAGGGAATCGAAAGACCTTTAAAATAAGGTATCACTTGACCCCCCTTTCCATTTAAGATTTTAGGGTTGGTGTCACCCCCGCTTAGGGAGCTGCACGTGCTAACGTGATTTTTTGCCAAACTTGTATCCCCCTCGAAAACAAAATCGACGGGTCTGAGCGTTTTTCACAAAAAGAAACTGAGCTGCCAGTAAATGCGTCTGTTTCGTTTTCGATGCGCCACCCTGTATAAAAAAGAGTGGAGAACAACATACATCATGTATGACATCTTTATAATTTTGTATAAAATGTTACTTGTAAATAATGGGTAGATTTGAATAAAATTATTTTTATTGAGTTCATTTTTTTATTTCATCATTTTTCTCCTTCCAATTCTGGATCTTTCTTTCAAAATACATGCTGCGCCCAAAGAAAAGCTATTTGACGTTAGCCCCTACACTGGAGTGGCTGAATCCATTAACTATTTTAAATAATTTTTGGTCAAGTTTACTGAACCTGCGTTGGAATTGTTGAAAATATGGTAGAGTTTCTTGCATTTAATTAGAAATTATTGAACTTGTATTGCTGACAACACTTCAGAACCCACTGTTCGCAAACTTGTTTGTTCTTTGAAAAGCTGAAGAAACGCCAATCTGAAGCGTCTTTGCCTTTCTTGCCGTTGTTGCTTGAACATCCCACTACTGCACAGAACACAATAGCTAAATGCTTAAGTCACTGTTTTTTAAATACTTTCTTCACAGAGACTTAATTGAAACACACTAGTGTAAGTTTCAAATTAACGAAACTAATCACAAATTATGCGCTAAAGCCCCTTAAAAAACTGTACGTTTGTCAATCGTGTCTGGCGACTTTTGTCACCGAGTGACGCTTCGCGTGCAAGACAGATCGCATGCATGGGCGTAGAGCGACCTTTCACCCTTCTTGACGACCCCGTTGTAATAAAACACTGAACTACCCTATCTGCAGGTAACTGCCTATTGTATAATCCAGCTCCAGTGATGCAATGTACCTATTTGCTTCTTGCACCGATATGGTCCGTACGTATTTAGGAAAACATAGCATCCACGGCTCAAAATGTAATTTCCGGCAGCGGGTCTCGAACCCCTGAGCCTTCGAGAAGATACTCTAGTAGCTCGATGACGCAACATGTCTGTCTACCCAGCCAGAATTACAAAGTATTCTGAGTAGTGTAGGTAAATGAGGTGCTTAACAATGTATACTAAGTGACATATAAATCCGAACACCCAGTTTAAATGGTTTTATTTTAATAAAATTTTGTATAAGTACTTAATGAAGCATAATAAGTAAATGATAAAAATTTCAAAATGATTGCACTGCCTTAAAGCCCTTTGACCTTTAATAATGTGTGGATGCACCCTGATGTGCTACGCATTCTCCGACGCGCCTAGGCATCCTTCTGATCAGGTGGTCAATGTCCTCCTGTGGTATCTCATTCCAGGCAACCACCAACTCCTCTCGAAGTGCTTCTAGAGTCTGAGGAGGATGTTGCAAATTGAGCAATCTCCTACCCATCATATCCCACACGTGCTCAATTGGGGATAAGTCGGGAGATCTTGGTGGCCATGGTAACAATGTGACATCATTATGTTGAAAGAAGTCTGTTGTGACTCTTGCAACATGTGGTCGGGCATTATCTTGTTAGAAAGTTGGATCTGCCAGGGTGTCAAGATAAGGTAAAAGATGGGGTTCTAGAACTTCGTGGATATAACGCTGCGCGTGCATGTTACCTCTGATGAAGATTAAAGGTGACCTGGAACCATAAGCTATAGCACCCCAAACCATAACTCTAACAGTGTGATGAACATGTCTTTCAACAAAAAACTGTGGATTCCTCCTTTCACCACGTCGCCTGGCACGACCATCGTGCATGCCTAAACAAAATCGAGACTCGTCACTAAAGACAATACTGTTCCATTCCTGATCCCAGAGTGACCGTTGTCTGCACCACTCAAGGCGATTACGTCGGTGTTCTCGAGTTAAAGGGAGGACCCGGTGTGGCCGGTATGAAAACAAGCCAAAACTTCTCATTCGTCGGTAAACACTTCGCATGCCAATAGGTCTTCCGTGTTCTGCAAACCACTCATTTGCAATGGACCTGGTAGTGGAGAAACGGTCCCTTAAGGCCAATAATCTCAGGCGGCGATCTTCACGTTCTGTTTTTCTACGCCGGCGTCCAGTGCCCCTTGCTCTTTCCGTACGGCCTTCTCGAAGCCATGCCTGAC